TTGAACTGTCTTTTCCATTCTTATATTTGTTTCTTCTTTCAATTCTAACCTCAATAAGTTTGGTGGTTCCCTAAATTTCACACAATAAAGTAAATAATGGTATGATATTAATACTCATATAAGGAGAAGGAGGAGCTGTGAATTATGCAGGAAAAAGTTAATCAAATTGTTGGATACAAAATTATGCTGATAAATGCAAATTTATAACCAACATCAGCATCCTAATTCAAATATAGTGTTACCACAAGTTGACATACCATGCTCAACCTATTCCATCAAGAAAATATTGTTTTCACAAAATACAAAACGGGGATGTAGCTCAAATGGTAGAGCGCCCGCTTTGCATGCGGGAGGTACAGGGTTCGATACCCTGCATCTCCAATTTTTTAGTCTTTATTTCCCTGTTCTAAAGTTGAAATTTCCCCCAAAATCACTCTATTACATAATCATATTGAGAGAGAAAAACCAGACAGGTAAAAAGATTAGTTAGTGTTCTCTGGAGGATGAAAGATGGAAAAGTTGTATCGTTTTCACCCCTTGTAACATCAGTACAAAGGAGTTTCTAAATAACTAATGGAAGAGGGCAGCTCTGTTGGCAAAATGGTCACTCTATATCTTTGTTTGAAGATGTGGGTTCCAACTCCTCTATACACGCAATTTTGTTTCGTACATTATTAATCAATAATTTTTTAAATTTTATTTATTCTTTAAAATTTGTATAAAAAACATCTTTATAAAATATATACAAAATTATTCAAAATAGTTTAATTGAACGATATTAATTTTTATTATTTTTAATAATAATAATACAATATTATTAATATTGTATTAGAAAAATGATGTAAAATTAAATTTGATCAGCAATGACATATCATCACTACCAACATTAAAATTTGATTTCAATTGAGAAGGGAACTAAAATTCTAAATTTTCTTTTAAAAAAATTATTCAGACCAAAACTAAATAAAAAAAAAATCAAAATTACAATTAAATCTAACTAATAAACATTTATAAATTTATATTTGAGAATTTCTTTCTCCACTCTTATATCTTCTTAGTCATTTTTGACGAAATTTTGTTTTTACCCATAAAATTTGAAGATGTATTTTCAAATGCACCACAAGTTGGTGTATTCATTTGCACGTGTTACAACTCACTCCAACTCTCAATTCACCATATTTCAAAAACTCTAAAAGTTTTAAATTTGACTAAGTTCTATAATCCATTTTAATTTTTGCATTTTTGCGGGTTTTTTCGGAGATATCTCAGAAAACCCCTCTAATGTGTTTCTGAGATGCATCTTCAAAACAAGGCCTGGATTTATTTATTTTTTAAATTTCAAAGATATTCTTGTTTGTTCGCTTACCTTTGATTTGATTAACGATTTTTTGTTTTTCCAGAATAATGGCAGAGAAATCCAATAGATTGAGACTTGGTAGACCTAGTCAAACTGCATTCGCTCGACGAGAGAGAGCTGAGCAGACTACGAGTCATCGAGGACGAGGTCGGGTACCGCGGGTGGAAGTGGAGGGAACATCGACTTCTATTCCGAGGAGTCGACTTTCACGTGCGTCATGTAACGCCCGTAATTTAATTAATTATATAATTAAATTATTTTTGGATTATTTGTGAAGTTGTTTTATGATGCTAGATGTTGTGTTGTGATTATTTGAATTAATTTATTCGATTAAGTTGTAGAATAATATTAGAATAATACTATTATTTGATGTGAGCTTATTTTTAATGGTTAGAAGTAGTAGAAAGGGGGTGTGGGAGTTTAAGCCCATTAAGACATAATGAGAATTATAGTGTTATGATATTAGTTATTTAGAAATAATAAGGAAAAATAAGTAACGGTAAGGAGAAAAGGAATAAGGGTTGGAAGAGAGAAAGAGAACGTGGAAGTTGCAAAAAAGAAAGAAAAGAGGCAAAACGGAATTCAATCGGAAAATTATAGAGCAACCTTCAATCCAAGGTAAGGGTGGGGCGCTGACTCTATAATGGGGTTTGTGATGAGTAGTATACGAGATTGGATTTGAAAGAAATTGTTTTGTTTGTGATATATATATATATATATATATATATATATATATATATATATATATATATATATATATATATATATATATATATATATATATATATATATATATTGTTGTTTGATGAAGAATCAATGATTTAGAGATGAATAATGATGCCCTAATGATGTATAATTGATGTAGAAACATAGGATTATCATAAGTGATGATTATCTATGATTAAATAATGTTTTTAGGACCTAGGGCAGGGATATCGTAGTGAAATCGCACAATATATTCAGCACAGATCAATATGAGTCGACCTCGAAGGCCATGCGTCGACACATGCAGGATTTAAGACTCAGGATGAGTCGATATGAAAGGATCATGCGTCGACACATGCAGTGTTTCAGACTCAGTATGAGTCGACACAAGAGGTTACGCGTCGACTCATGCAGGATTCCAGACCCAGTACGCGTCGACTCAAAGAAGTATGCGTCGACTCATGCAGTTCAATTTTTGACAGATTTTTCCAAAGGCTGTAACTTGAGTTTTCGGACTCCGTTTGAGGTGTCGTTTGAAGCGTTGGATAGATAACGCGATGAACTTTATTCATAAGTATTAAAATGAAGGATAAGTTGAATAATCCTAGTACCCAAATTAGGATAGAGTTCGCTTCTCGCGTTAATCGCTATGATGATTTCGTGAAGTATGATGAGGATAAAACGATCTTAGATTAATGCTTGGTTCATAACAGTAAGATTAATAATAATAATAATAATGATGTAGTATTGTAGTATAATAATATGTAGAAGTTTAGTAATTAGAGATAACCATTAGATAAGTGGTTAATCGGCATAATCGAGAATTGCCCGAATATTTATGGGCGATATCATGTTGTAGGCCTATGGCCAATGGAATGGTTGTTGACCTGCTATTGTGTTGTGGTTATGGTTGAGTTGCTGTGGATTTACGTGGATGAATTATGCTGATGATTAATGTTGATGAATTGTGTTAATGAATTATGATGAGATGCCTCTAATTATTGGCAGCTATTGAGTTGTAGGCTTCTGGCCAACGATGATTCATGTTGAGATGTTGTTAGTTGTGGTTGTTGTTACTACATTCATGATTGTGTCGCATACATTGCATATCAAGATGGAGCTGATGCTCGTTAAGATGGCATCTATTTATTGGCAATTATTTTGAGATGAAAATTCTGCTCCAATGGTACCACATGCATTTGCATAGTATTGAGTCGCATTACATGATTGCATAAGGAAGTTGTGTATTGATGCGGTAAATGTTGTATGTTGTTGATGTTCCCTTGCGATTATTGTTGTTTATAAGATGTGAAGTGGTGATATTATATGATCTGATCTAATATATTGTTTATCATACGTTTTATTATATTGTTAGATATCTCACCCTTTATGTTTGAATGTTACCCTTACGTTGGTAACGTGCAGGTAATCCAGAGTGAAGGTGGTTTACCTTCAGTAGTTCGAGTCGATGTCATTGCTCTGATACGTAACACTCGGGGGGTGAACGCTTGTTGTTTTTAGTTATTGTTATTTCAGTTGTTGAACTTTAATTTGATCGTTGTTGAGTACTTGTTATTTTGAAACTGCTTTAATGTTGGACAAAGATGTTATTATGATTCTGTTGCGTAGTTGTTCAAGTTGTTGAATTAAGAGATTAATTTATTTTGCTGTTGATCCATCTGAAGTTTTAAAGTGTTATGTATCCATGTTGAATGCAATGTGTTTTTAAGTTGAATTTGTGACATTCTGATTCAGTTGTATGAATTTTATAACTATGATTTACATTTATAATTGCCGAGTAGAATCGGGGTGTTACACGTCCTTGTCTAGGGATTACGAAGAGGAGGAGTCTGAGCGGATTCAGGTTCCGGAACTCTAAATGGAGTTTATTCCGGAACTCGAGGAGGAGGCTAACCCGAGTTTTGCTGGAGGGCCGTTTGACACCTCCCTCTTGATCTATTACACCGATCATGTCGCTCGACATGTTTGGGAGGGACATGTATATTAATTTTTGTTACAGTTTTCATTTTAATGATTTTACGTACTAATATGTTAAAATTGATATTAATTATTTACCTTTACAGGAACGGCAGTCACTAAAGTGCGTCAACCACACGTGAAAGATATCTGAGTTATATCTCCAAAAATATTACCGCATATTTAAATATAATGTCCAAGTCTAAATAAATTATTTTTGGAAATGCATCTCCAAAACACCTTGACTTGAGATGCGTTCGAAGATACATCTCCGAAAAATATTTTCAAATTTTCAGAGATTTTCCCCACTCATAAAAGATGTACAAAGAGATTCCATGTATTTAAACACTAGTTTGTTTTTTTGTTTTTTGTCTAGAACACTCGTTTGATTTTAAAATGTAAAATTTGTTAAAATTATCAATTATCTAGTTTAATTGTTTGCGTTGCAATTGTGTTTTAGGGAACAACTATTGTGACTCAATATGAGCCTATTGTCTTTCTACAATTTATTTTCTTGTTTCACCTATTTAATTTTAGAACTCAAATAAATAACTTAAGTATTCAAAATTATTTATACTTGTGTATTTAAATTAATATTACATATTCTAACGAGTTTGACAAAAGAGAGAATTTGACAAATTTCAATTTATATACAAAAAATTCAACAATACAAAATGATGCATGGTTGCACAAAACCTAGAGCCACACTGGTAAATGACTCGACAAAACACAACGAGCTTGTAATTTAGAAACCGTGAAAGTAGAGCTAATAAACGTTAACACTATTGATTTAGGCTTTCAGCTTCTTCATAATTTAAATTTCTATACACAAAATTCACAATGAAACCATTCCTATGACCTCTCTAGAAATGAAAGAGGATGAAACTTTTTCAGCCTTTTTTGATTAGTCACCAACAGAAACCAAAGGGTGCGCGGCACACAACGGCTTTGATTTGATGTTTTATTTTGCAGCGTACCAGTTTTTAGCGCACTTGGCATCCACGGAGAGGCCGACTTTGAGAATATTCTGACCGTTAAAGGGGTTAGACATGCAATCGATAACTATAGCTTTTGCAACTTCGGCCGACTCTGTTGGTCCTTCCAATATGACTTCATCGTGAACCTACATTATCGTCGTATGCAAAAAAATCTCAGCCAAATGTAACTATATAAGGATTTTAAACAAGCAAGTTCTTATAAATATTAACCTGAAGAAGTAACTTCCATCCAAGATCTTTCAACTCTTTATTGTTCGATATTTCTAACATAGCAAGCATAGCCACATCAGCTGCACTTCCCTGTTGCATTTAAAACATCAGAAAACCAAAAAATATAAATTGATTTCTAAATGCTAGGAAGTTCTATGGGTATAATGTAGCGTTAATATATTTAAAAAATTCGAGGACCTGCACTGGGGTATTAATAGCAGCACGTTCAATGTGACCTTTATAGTAGTGTTGACCTTGGAATATCTCGGGGAACCGTCGTGCTCGTCCTAGCAATGTGTAAACACATCCGAATTCAAAAGCTTCTTTTTTCCGTTGCTTTTGCCATTTCAAAACTTCTTTTCTATCATTGTACCAGAGGTCAACTGTCTTCTTAGCTTCTTTCACAGAAACCTGACGGAAAAATATTTCGACAATCGAATCAAAATTCAGACTTTTAACCTATGCAAGCAAGCACCTTATAAATAAGTGATAGAATTCACGGTACCTTCCAATCCTTAGAAAGACCCTGAGGAGTCTTTCCATACGCAATTGAGAAATTAAGCATTTTGGCTTTTCTTCTTTCAGAAGCAAACGCATCCTGAGAAACGAAAAAGTTAATAATCGATATGAAATATCGAGTAAAATTTAAGTAGATCAGAAGAAAATTTACCTTGAGGAGAGGAACGGGGGGTTTGTCTTCACCAGGCTGAGGATACCATTCAAGAAGCACTTCGTTGTTATCAACCGCTTCACGGATATATGGATACATATTCATTGCAGTTCTGGAATGGAAATCTCCGCCAGCTTCAAAGGCTTCCAACATGCTCTTACAATTCGTAAGATGTGCAAGTATCCTAAGTTCCAACTGTAACAAAACGTAACAACTCCATCAACAGAATGAAATACCAAGCAACTACCTCAATTAGACAGATAAGTAAATTACAGACCTGTCCGTAATCAGCAACTATAAGAGAATTTCCAGGAGCAGCTATGAATGCCTGACGGATTTTATATCGGTCCTTTTCCAAAGCTGGTTGATTCTAATGTAAAATATACAAGTTAGATTAAAACTTCGTCTTTTTGAAATCCGATGATTAATCGGTCCAAATATACATCTTATGAGAAAGTAGGAAAAACCTGCAGACTTGGTCTTCTTGCTGACAAACGTCCAGTCTCTGTGTTGATATTTATGGAACAATGAACACGTTGATCCTTTCCAGATATATTATCTCCCTGCCATTGAAATGAAACATATTAAGCTAGCATACGACATGAAAATCCATAAACACGACCAGACTGGTGAAAAAGTCGAAAATAAAATTAAAGAGAAAAGGAATAATTACCTGCAAGGGAAGGATGAAGTTAGAGATCAAAGAATCAATTGAACAGACTTCACATAACGCAGCAATTGCATGACAAGCTTCTCTCCCTTCTTCCTCAGTTGGAAAAGCAGAAAAGGCTGTTCCGTAAGCAGAATTGTCTGTTTCTAAAGGTTCGTCTTCAATTTGAGAAGGATTCCCATCTTCATCCTCAAGGTCAAAGTCGTATTCAGCTGAAACTTTTCCGGCCAGCGCCTTTAAAGCGGCACCACTACATGAAGGCCAGCCAGTAGCTGTGTACATGTCAACGTTTAGGCTATATCCAATGCTATTCAACTTAATATCACGTAATTTCGAGGGAGTCTTTTTTCCTTTTTCAATCACTTTATCAACATTGGGAACTTTGAATATCCGCTCAGTTGGAACCGCCGCGTTGTGGTTTTTTCTGTATAATAGGGCAGGAAAAACGAAAGCTTTACTTTCATGACATACACGAACCACTTAACTGAAAACAACTGAGAACAAGACGTGTGATAAATTAAGATAGAAACAAATGCTCCACAAAAGATTTAAATAACGTGCACCTGTGCAAAGTGCCACCAAAAAGAAGTACGCGCAACTGTGCATCACTGCCGACATTCATATACTTTACATCAGGACAATACTTAGATCCCCATTTTCGGAATCTATTAACAGCCGCCTGTTGCTCTGCTTTCGCCACCTTCTCTATTTCTTGAAGATATAACCGATCCACTAGCATACCCACAGATTCCATTTTGACAAGAATCTCACCAAACGGTTGCAAAAATTTCTCGTAAAAATCAAACATGTTTTCTCGTAAGAGCTCTCCATCAAGTTTCCAAGGTAAATCTGAAAGATGACCCTTTAGGCTCTCGTAAAGCTTCAGAGTGCTTCTAGCATCTAAGGCAGAGTAACATATCCAAGGTATTCGCTCTTCTCTTTGAAGTACTTCAACGGGATCAATAGTAACCGTTTTACCCAAAGATCCGTCTTTCTTCGCCTTTCTCAGACCAAATATATTCGCCATTGACACCTTACCGATCAAATCCTTTTCATAGTTCAGATTAGCCCTAGACATGACCTCTTTGTCACCGCTAAGTGCTTCAAGAGAATAACCACCAACCCAACGTCTTGATGAATCCCATAACCGCGCCATGTGCATTGTATCAGCATGAAATCCGGAAACCTTAAATCCATAGTTTTCTATAACATGACAGTCAAAGCTATAGTTATGCCAGACCTATAAAATGCACCGATGACTTTGTTATTTAAAAAATCATTTTCAAATCTACGTCACGTAAACCCTACCAAATTATTAATCAAACAAACTCTTAAGAGGTTATACACATAAAGAAGAGTAATAAGAATACAAACATAAACAAGAGAATGAGGAGAAAGAGAAGCTACCTTTTTAATGGATGGATCTTGAAAAAAATCTGCAAACACATTTAAAATCTTTTCGCCTCCACCGTCAAGAACATCTACCCAGATACAGGACTTCCCACCTCCGAAATCCGCTTCCGGACCCGAATAAATACTAAAGCATATTATCTCCCCATGATCTACCGGTGTTTCTTTTCTGACATCTATCTTTGATACCTTTCAAGACATTAAAAGTTGACACATATCACATGCTTAAAATTTGTGAAATACAATTTAAAATGAAAAAAGTTAGCAGCGTTATACCTCAGTATCACATGCATGAATAAGATGCCTGTATTTTACTGTAAGCATCTTAGCTACTTTCTTTGCATGAGAAAGGTTATTAACAACCAATATGTTATCGTAGACACTACAGAGCCTTTCCCGAAGTTTTGATTGTTCATCACTGCGTGTCATTGTAACCGTCAACTTTGCATTAGTCGCTTCTTCCGCAGTTGTAGTCATACTGTGATTGCCATTAACCTCGTCAATTTTCTCTTCGCCGATCTTGAATGAAGATATATCTAACTCGGTCTCAACTCTTTCAGTGTCTATCAACATCTTTGAGTTTTCTATTATAGATAGTTGAAGAGAAGGTGGGGCAGGCTCACGATCCTGCAGCATAACATTGCAACCTTCATTTTTGGAAACAGCCAATTCCTGACCTATAGAAGAACAAGCAATTGTATTTGTATTAAACGAATACGGACTAGTCTTAGCCGGATCATGCATTTCCATTTTTTTCTGAGCCAGTTTAGAACTAGCCTCGTTCCAGCCAATTTTATTGCCATATAATTTTCTACGAGGTCTTTTGGATAAGCTGTAATCCCAAGGACCCAAACGCGGCATCATCCTACCTTGTATTTCATAGGAACTCAAAGAATTCAGATCTTCTTTCCGTCTTATTTGATTTATTACCTCCAACGCAGTTGAAAATTTCATAACTGAAATATGTACGGGAGAATTACGACTATACACCGTGTCGTTGCATTTATTAAACCCAAAAGATATTCGCTTTAGCGATTTACTCGACAAATTGCTATTTAAGAGGACATTGTTCACAGTCTGGATTGATTTGATTTTTCTTCTGCTGTCCATATCATGCAAAAAGTACAAAGGTAGCTATCAATAGATTGTAATAGCAAACAACCCGAGTAAACAAGGGTATGTAGCCATGTGTGACGGACCAGCCAAAGAAAAAACCCTAATTTATGCCTTGCTTAATAATAGTTTCTAGTAACTAGATATTCAATTTCAATGTAGCATTGTCAATTCAAATAAGCTAAAAGCTAAACAACTAAATATAAAAATACTAGCAATCATTAAGCCATGAAAAATTTCCACGGTTACACCCCACAGAAAATACCATACAAAATACAACTTCAACTACGAATTTCATCTCTAGTAATGCAATTACTATAGCATATAAAAACTTGAAATAAAATAAAAAACATAACATGAACACATTACAAACAAATAACCCAAAACAAGTAAAAACACGTCAAGTTATTCAGCAATATGAAAACCCAATGAACAAAAGATAAGAACTTTGGATACATAACGAACAAACCTGTGTTGTGGTGATCCATATGAAGCAAAAAACGACAGAGAAGAAAGAGGAAAACGAAAGTTTCGAGAAGAAGAATGAGAAGAAAAAGATAAACAAGAGGGACAATAGTAAGTTGACCTAAAAGGGGTAGTCTGAGATGAAACCCACATGGTTGAAAACAAACCCAATAGGCTCCCCAGCTTTGTAGTGTGATAAAGGCACCGTTTTTGGTTGAAGAAGTGGCAAAAACGGTAAATAGGAGAAGGGGTTTGTTAGGGGAAGTTGTTATAGAAGTTGGTGTGGTAGTGAAGCATTGGAGAGAGAAGCCATGAGAGGAGGATGAAGAGAGAGTTTGAGAGCATAAACCCTGCTGCTGCAACTTTGAATTGAGTATTGTGGCAATGAAACTGCGGTAAAACGGAGTGACCGATAGAAAAAGGGCAAAGACATTATTTACTTTTTTTTCTTCTATATTAAATGGTAAAATAAATATATTAATAGATAATAAAAAACAAATTATTATTGATGCAAATTAATAACAATTTATTATTAATGTCTCATGATATTAACAAAAAAATAATTACAAATAAATGAAAAAATTGTCATGAATTTTTGCGAGTAAGTTTTCTAAAATGTTTTTTAATATTTTAGAGATGTCATTTCAGTCTTGAGTAGAAAATTTAAATTTAGGAAATAGTTTGTGGTGATTGAAAAAAACTACTTTTATAAGAAAGAAAATTACCCTCAAAATAACTCTTTTGGGATATCTAAAAAAAATGAAGAATGAGTTAGAAGCTTACTACACCACTAAAGAATGATTTTAGCTAAAGGTCTGGGTTGACCTTCAATCTTTTGATGAAATTCTTGATAATTAGTTTATTATCATAGAGCTAAGAGACTGATTGAATTTACTATATACATTAAGAGTTGAATCCACTGTGGTATATGTCATGATCTATGGCATCAAATGTGAAAGTAAATTAAAGAAATAATATCCACTTGTGATTTTGGTTAAAGATGTCTGGAATCAAGCAGCGAAATCACCAATTCAAAAGAGGCTTTTAACCTTTGGAGCATAGGATTTTCTTGATGAATTTAACCTAGGAACTCACGAGTAATATAGAATGATTAAAATGAGGGGTTTGCTCACCAAGGATGAAAGGGATCAGTAAGTGGAATTGATTAAGCATTACAAAGATTGTTTTGTGTACAGTAAATAGAATTGATCAAGCGTTACAAAGATTGTTTTGCATAGAGTTGTCATGAAATTTCTGATCTTACGTGAGAGTTGGTTGAACAAATATCTCCAATTAAGAGGAATATGTACCACACAAATAAACTCAAAAGAGATTTAACCCTTAGTCAATGCCTCATATTAAGGTTGAAATAGAAGGGTTGCTCAAAGCAGGCTTCATTTGAATGACTAGGTACTTAAAATTGTTTTCCAACACTATACTCGTCATCAAGAAGACTAGACAAATTAAAGTTTGCATCGATTACGTAAACTTAAACATGAGTATAGAATGTCAATGGTTGAAAGGTTAATCGATATTACGACTAGTAATGTCTTTGTTACCTTTATGGATGAATACTCAGGCTAGACTCAAATATTTGTAGTTGAGGAAGATACCCACAAGACAACTTTCAAATTTCCATATGTGTTGGGAATCTACAAATAAATTTTTTCACGTCTTTTGAACTAGAGAATGTGTGTGCCACTTATCAAAAGGTTATGAGTGACATCTTCCATAATCTTATTTGAAATAATATGGAAGTCAACATTCATGATGTGTTGGTCAAGGTCGTCAACTTCTAGAATCATTCGTTAGAATTAGAATATGCCTTGAAAAGGATGAGGTTGCACATTTGAAAGCTGAATTTGACCATGTTTTGGGTCTACACTATACACTTTTAGGGTTTTTTATACCAAATAGAGGTATTTAATTGGACATGCATAAAGTTAATGTTATCTTGTAAGCAAGGCCACCTCAAACTAAGAAATAATTACATAATTTTTTTGAGAATATCAATTTCGAAAGATTTATATCCAATTCAGTGTGTAATACAAAAGCATTTTCATTGTTGCTTAGAATGAAGAACACAAAAGAGATGATACAGGGATCCATTCAACGTAAGGCTTTTGATCAAATTAATTAAGCATTGCTTAAGCCATCAATTCCTATAGCATCGGTTCCACGAAGATCACTCAAGTTATATGTTGCATCTTAAGATGAGTCAATCAATTGTTTGGTAGTGCGAGATGGTGATAAAAAATAGAAAGAGTGATATGTTACATTCTATGAACCTTTAATGGTGTAAAAACTATGTGTGATACGGTGGGAGAACTGACTTGGGATTTTGCGTTTTGTGTTCGCAAATGTTTCGGTTTAGCAAGAGTCGCCACCGACTTTTTATTTTATCCTAAGGAAAGGTAAAAAAGCACAGGAAAGACCTTTGAGATGTTTTCTCGGGTTCGGGGAGTAGATTATAGAAAGGGAAGGTATTAGCACCCTTTCTATCCATGGTTATCCATGGGCTCTTAGTTACTTGCTTAGATCACTTGCTTTACATTTTTATTGTTTGAAATGGTGCTTTGTGTGTGATTTTGGGAAATGTTTTGAAAAGAGACCATCGTTGTGGAAACCTTTGTAATGATTCTTGTTTGAATGTATACAAAGGTGTTTTTGTCTTTTGAAAATTTTTCAATGTTTGAAAGTAGGGTTTTGAAATTGTGTTGTAGAGTGAAAAGTAGCAAGGATATTTTTTTTTTGCAAGCTTGATCAAGTAATTAAGAGCTATCTACCCTATTTTACTCAAAGATCTTTCTTATGTTTTTAACCCTTTTAACAGTGTTGCTTCACCATTGTATTTGGTGAACAACCTTGTGTTAGGATGTTAACGGGACAGGCGCGGGTCATCGTATAGATCATGATTAGCAATGTTGCAAAGTATCTTAGCATTTTTTGAGGGACTAAGATCATTTTTGTAAGGCAACTTTGAATAGCGTCATCGAGGGACTATGATCTTTTGATTTTGTTTGTTTTACCAAGATACTTTGCATGCGTAACATGGCCATTTTATTTTAGGCAACCGAGTGGAGATACCTTAAGGGGTGTTTGTGTGCAAGTATTTTTTTTTTTGCATGCATGATTTTATCTTGAATTAGGATTTTCTACTTCATTGATTTTATCTTGCCATACATATCCTAATTACTAGCATTTACATTTGAAAGCAATAAAAGGCGGAAATGTAAAATCCTACGCTATTACAATATTTAGGGGATGGGGATACACATTTGTACATGGGGTGGTTCAACGAGAAAAATAGATAAGAAAAGAAAATGATAAAGGCAAGATAGAGAGAAAGAGAGAGGGGGTTAGCGCGCTGCTGAGAGGGAGTCAGAAGTTCTGACCCAGGCTTGCTGCAAGATTATCAACCTGTTAGTGAAACTGTATGGGTCAGAACTTCTGGCTCTGGCACCTGCAAAACAGAAACCTGTTAGTGGGAAAGTCAGAAGTTCTGACCCCCATGCGCTGCAAGACAAAAGTTTGTTAGTGGGGAAGTCAGAAGTTCTGACCCTGCTGGAAATACAATAACTCTCAGAAGTTCTGATGTTATTGACAGCAAAGCAGGCTTCAGATGTGCTAACGTCAAATTCAACACATGGCTTCTCCCTGTGCTAGCCAGAACATCTGCAGTTTTGTTATTTTTCCACAAAACAGAAAACATGCTTGGGACAACTTCAGCAAATGTCAAAGTTTTTTCAGGAGACAGAACCAACAAGGTCACAGGCAGGTTCTACATTGATTCAATTCCTACTTAAACATTCTGAGGTATGAAAATCCTCAGAACACGAACAGCAGCAACATGATATTTACATTATGTTTATTTGAGCATGCAAAGCTGATGATGCTTAGCAGCGTGATAAGAGTCAGCAGGTACTTACATGTCTGTTAAAAAAAAGTCTGTGAGTGGGAGCTAGCTTTTAGCTCTGATGGTGTTCTAGACAGGTTCTTTTTTGAAGGGGTGGATGGAGAGTATATATGGTCAGAAACTGTATGGGCGTCTTTCTTTAATCAAGAAACAAATTGGGTACAAATGAGGTTTTGAGGCAGGAGATTCAAAGTTGTGTTTAAGGCTCTTGAAACACTAGGATTTTTGACAGAGTTTCAAGGTATTTTCTTGCTAAAAATCTCTGTTTCTTTTCTAGCAAAGCTTCTGGGTTTTTCTTTTACCCCCTTTTAGTGGTCAATGGTGCTCTATTTATAGACAAAGCTTTATGGATTTTTTTAAACGTTAAATGGCGCCAATACCATGCAATAGGTGCTGACTTGCTCTTGACAGAAGTTTATGAAAAGTTGTGATGATGGACAGCTTTTCATCCTAGGCTGGAACAGTAAGCGAGGATTAAGGGAAAGTGACACCCCTAGGCGAAAAGTGGCGCATAGATCCATGCCTAAACCTGCACGAGGGTGTTACTATGCCACACGTGGAGAGACCCCTTGGATGAATGCTCAGAAGTGGTTGTGAGCATTAATGAGAATTAAATGGTGATGAGATTTATCAACATCAAAAATCTTGTAATATGAGATTTTGCATCATTACCTAAGCCAACAGTTCTGCTTCATCATAAAACAACGCAGCCAAGCTCTGATCTCGGCCTCATGTTGTCTCAGCAAATTATGAGTATTCTCCTGACTTTCTAGCATGTTCCTTGGATTTGCTTATGGAAATCATGGACTTTAGAGATTCTGTGTCAGTGTAACACCCACTCTTCTGACCCCTTCATCTTCTGATTCCAGCATGTTCTGAAGGAGCCTTCAAGCTTCTTTGCTTTCTTTGCATTCCTCCAGCAAACTCTGGCTGAACTTGCGTAACTGCTGAAAAAGCCATGTTCTGTTTGAAGATTACGTGTTGAACCACGTTTACAACCTCTAACTGAGTTGGTGTAGCTGCTGAAGAGCCACCTTCTGACTGAATGTTATGTGTTGAGCCAAGCTTGCAACTTCTGACCGTTTCTGTCTGGAGGTTGGTTCAGAAGTTCTGAAGTGCTATTTTTCTTAAATACTTTAGAAAAATTCTAAGTATTTAGAATTTAACTTTTTCAAGGTAAAATTTGACTTTTGAGTTTGCAAATGATCACTTTGCTCTTGTAAATGGTTTGCTTGGA